AAGAAGAGTTTGAGATTTAAGCAGTCTATTGTGACCCCCCTCCTCATCTGAAAACCTTTTAGTTACACGTTCTTCAAATCGACGAAACGAAAAACAATATATTTAAAAAAATATATAGCCGTTAAATCCCAAAATATATGTTTTTGTTATTGAGTTCCTTACTAAATAGTTTAGTCACTTCACTGAGTTGATGGCACAGTTGACTTGGATTAATTCTGCTTCTAGAAAGGTTTGGGTTAAAAGATTGATCTCTATGGTCACATAGATGCTCTAAATGGCGATATTGATATCGTTGCTCTTCAAGGCGAGAGTATTTGTGTACTTCAATGAGTAGGTATTTAGGTGCATGCATGTGCTAGTTCCTTGAGTCCATACATTCTTGCATGCATATCATTTTTTGTATATTCATTTTGTTTTGGATTGTTTGTTTCATTTATTTTAAAAAAAATAAAGATTTTTTATTTTAAACTACAGCTCATTATGTGATTTACTTGAACATGCATATTGTGAACAAGTATGATTACAATTGATGATCTGTAACGTAGTTTCAATTGCTTGGTTTAGGTTTTTTGTGGAGTACTTAGTATAGGTTTCTTCATGTACCAATTAAACGGCACACACTATGATTTTGTGAGTAAGTCTTGAACATATGTGTGAGATTTAGGATGGAAGTGTCTGTAAGTGAGGTGACCTGAAGATGAATTGACATTTAACTAGTTGACCTAAGCTATAGTACATCCCCTAAAAAAAAATTTGATTCATCTTATACTCTTTCTCGAGACCTATTGGACTCGAACAATTAAGTCTGAGGGGTTTTTCAAAGCCTAATATCCTATGGTCATCTGATTTGGAATCATCAGGTTAAAGCTCGTTACGACGTCATCTTAATCGCTTAATGGAGAAGAATCTGCATATAAGATGTGAAAAAAAAAAAAAAATTACATATGCTTAAATACAGAGGGAGAAAAGAAAAATTTATACATGAAAAGATGAGTTTCATTATTTTGTAGACTCTACTTGTATTGGGTTTGACTTTTATTAATACAGGAAAATACTCATTCTGTAGTGATGTTTATCATGTTATTACTCACAAGAAATTAGTGGCACTTTTCACACATGGGTCACTTGTACAATTTACTCCATTTAGACTTGAATTGAGTNAACAAACTTATTTAATAGTGATGTTTAGCACGTCATTTCTCACAAATATAAGGTTTGGAGTTTTGATCACAAGAAATTAGTGGCACTTAACACACATGAGTCACTTATACAATTTACTCCATTTAGACTTGAATTGAGTGTGTGGGAAGAGTTTATTGTTTATTAATTATACCTGTACGAGTGAACAATTGCATTTTTTGAGTTATCATATGATGTTGGTTTGCGTGCCATGCTTACTGCTCGAACGCTCATAACAGAGACTTGGCGCTCATTAGTAGCATTCCCACCGGTCAAGCGACAATGCGATTAATGTTTAAAACAGGTTCCGTTCCTCGCGATTCATTTCAATAGAAAAATTCAATCATCCCCAAAATTGAAATTACCTATCCACAAATCTTGATTTTGTATCAACATTAAAGTGGATTAACATCATTTCACTTCAAATTACATCCAATTCAAGGTAAAATCTCAAAGAATCCTATTTTTTTTTCCATTTGCTTGAATTTTGGGATATTTGAATTTTAATGCATTTGTTGTGTTAGTAGCTCATATGGTGTGTTGGGTTAGAATTGAAGATGGATTCTTAGATGGCATTGCATTAATTTGATGAAAAAACGAGGTTAATCGCGAAGGAAATGGATAGATGTAGGTGTTCTCTTGGTTTTTCCAATTGTTTTACATAAATTGTGTGGGTCGAGGTGGGGGCCTGGCTTTGTTATTGGCCAACTCTAGCGATCTAACTATTCAGAGCTACTCGTGTAACCACATTGACGCCGTGATGAAGGATGTTCGTAGGAATAAAGTTAGTTTATTTCTGACGGGTGTGTATGGTCATCCTAACGCCTCTCAACGACACTGTTACTGGAATTTAATTCGAAATCTGTACCTCTCTCGCTCAGGACCTTGGGTTCTACTAGGGGATTTTAACGAGATTTTAAGTAACGAGGAAAAAAAGGGGGTCGGCCCAAACAAGAGAGGAATATGGTTGAGTTTAAAAGGATGATGGATGATTGTTTGCTGAGGGACTTAGGATTCCAGCGGGATAAATTTACCTGGTGTAACTGGAAGAATGGTACTGAACATGTGCTTGAACGATTGGATAGAGTTCTCGCAAATACTCAATAGCGTAGCTCCTTTTCATGAGCTACTGTAATACATGGGTATTCCCTGTACTCTGATCATATCCCATTGTGGTTAGAGTTTGAGGGTATAAATGACATGAAGAAACGAGGTACAAAACTTTTCAGATTTGAGGCGATGTGGGTGGGAGAGGAAAACTGTAAGAACATTATTGACAGAGTGTGGAATAAGGGGAAGAGAGGACCTGTTGTTGAAGAAGTCATAAGTCTCATTTCCAAATGCGGAGAGGAGTTGCAATGTTGGAATGAAACAGATTTTGGGAACGTTTAGTCTATGCTTAATAAGGCACAACTGCATCTTAAGTATATGCAAGATAAGGGGCTGATGGGTACAACTCAGATGAAGGAGGCGAGGAAACAGGTCCATACTTGGCTGGAACGTGATGAGCTCATGTGGAGACAAAGATCTAAGGTCCTTTGGTTGAAGGAAGGTGATGGTAATACTCATTTTCTTCACTTAAAGGCTTCACATAGACAAACAAGGAACTGCATTTCAAGATTCAAAGATGAAAATGGAAATTGGTTGGATGGAGAGGGGTTCTATGTCTTTTTTGGAATCCTTAAGGGAGAGAGTGACTACATAGATTATTGAACTGTTAACTACAAGATTCACAGAGGAGGAAGTCGAGCTAGCACTGAAGGAAATGGATCCAATAAAAGCACCTGGCTTTGATGGGATAAGTCCAGTATTTTTTCAGAAACATTGGGCAATAGTTGGCAGTAAGGTGAAGGCTGCAGTGCTCCAGGTTCTTAATACAGGTGACTTTCCCCAACATTTAAATCACACTTTCATCACTTTGGTCCCAAAGAAGCCCGATCCTGCTCAGATTACTGAATTTCATCCAATCAATCTGTGTAATGTGCTATTGAAACTGATCACCAAGACTATTGCTAATAGAGTGAAAAGCATTACCTCAGGTTATCTCTGAATCCCAATCAGCTTTTGTACCGGGTCGTTCGATTACGGATAATGTCTTAATTGCATACGAACTGATTCATTATCTACCGTATAAAAAGAAGGGGAAAAATGGGTATATGTCTATAAAGCTTGATATGAATAAAGCTTATGACAGAATTGAATGGGATATTTTGGAGTTGGTTATGGCAACTATGGGGTTTGATAACTGAGTGATTAATCTGATCATGGAATGCGTGAGAACAATATCTTATTTTGTGCTGATTAACGGGAATCCTTCGTCTACTATCTTCCCCAATAGAGGTTTAAGGCAGGGGGACCCCCTCTCACCTTACCTCTTCCTACTGTGTACTGAAGGTTTAATCACCCTGCTACATAAGGCCAAAGGTGAGGGCAAAATTAGTGGAATCTGGTTGTGTCGAGGAGCCCCTATGATAAATAACCTCCTCTTCGCAGACAGTATTGTGATTTTCTGCAAGGCAACCGGGGCAGATGATCACTTTTGAAGATATATGAGTTGGCCTCGGGGCAGATGATCAACATGGAAAAGACTTCAATGGTGTTTAGTAAAAATGTGGCAGCTCAGCATCGACAACAAATTCTAGAGTTATGGCACCTTCAACATGAGAATAATTTTGACAAATATTTAGGATTTCTACCAATTGTGGGGAGGGATAAGTTAAGAGCTTTTTCAGATATTAAAAATCGAGTCTGGAAGAAACTACAAAGCTGGAAGGAAAAACTCTTATCTCAAGGTGGAAAGGAGGTCTTAATTAAGGCTGTCGCGACAGCAATCCCTACTTACTCCATGTCGTGTTTTCTACCACCAAACAGCGTGTGCACTGAACTGGAGTCAATGATGGCTAGATTCTGGTGGGGCCAAAAAAGGTGAAAGGAAAATTCATTGGGTTAGTTGGGAGAACATGTGTCAATCGAAAGGTAGTGGAGGTTTGGGCTTTAAAAGATTGAGAGATTTTAACTTAGCGATGCTAGCAAAGCAAGGATGGAGATTATTAAATGGGGAGGGTACTTTACTGCATTCAATATTCAAGGCACAGTACTTCACAAACTAAGATTTTTTTGAGTTCCAAACTAAGAAGTAATCCCTCATATACATGGCGTAGTATATTAGAAGCCAGATCAATCCTTACACAGGGCTACAGATGGAGAATTGGAGATGGAAAAGGAGTGAGAATATGTTCTGATTACTGGATCCCCGGAGTGGAGCCAAAAATAATCCAAGATGCAACATGGCTATTTCCGAAATTAGTGCAATGACAGTTGATCAGTTACTTGATAGACACACGAGATGCTGGGATTTGGAAAAAGTCAGAACTCTCTTCAATCCAAATGTGGCTGGAAAAATTCTACATATTCCCATTAGTCCAGACTTGCAATCCGACAGTCTAATTTGGGAAGCGGAAAAGAATGTGAAGTTTTCTGTGAAGTCTGCATATCGATGGTTGCAGATTCAAAAGTCTAATAGTAGAGGTGAGTTATCTTATTCTCAAGTACTAAAGGAGTTATGAAAGACTGTATGGAGTTTAAACATTCCTCATAGGGTTCGAATTTTTGCCTGGCGAGTATGTTTGAACATTTTACCGACTGCTATAAATCTGATCAGAAAATAGATAAACATTCTAACTGGTTGTGGTTTCTGTTTAGCGGGGGCAGAGGATCTCAATCACATGTTTCTGATATGTCCTTCTTTGGTAGATAATTGAACAAGATTTCTCCCTTAATTATCCTAGATTAATCGAAACCAAGATTTATTTGAGGTGGTTATGCAGATTAAAAGAGTAGGAGGAAAAGAGGCACTGGGCTTATTTTTTACTGTTGCTTCCAGTATATGGCTGTGTAGAAATAAAAAGCATTATGAAGTTGTAAGTTTGAACATGAGCTCTACAATCGAACATGCTATTTCGATGCTACATTTGTTTAAAGGGGTCAAAACTCAATCGGGCTCTACTTTAAACAGCTTCTGTGCGTGGAAAGCTCCTTCAGCAGATTTCTTGAAGCTGAATGTAGATAGAGCGACCTTTCATCACCTTCACAAAGCTGGGATTGGTGCTGCTCTACGAGACCAAGTAGGAAAAGTGTTAATGGCTGCCTCAAAAGAAGAAAAGGAAAGTGGCTAATCCGGAAATGATAGAATTTCTAGCGGTTCTCCGAGGGCTTCAGTTTGTGTTGTCGATGGGCATCTCTCAGTTAATCATTGAATCAGACTGCCTCTTCATTGTTTCCCAGCTCAATGACATGGAATCTGTTACCCTATCCCCTTGAGCCTCCATCATTACTGATATTAGACATCTTTCGTTTGCTTTTTTGGATGTAAAAATATCTCATGTGAGTAGACTAGAGAATGGGGTAGCTCATGAACTAGCTAGACGTGCGTGGGAAGTTGAGTCCATTCAAATGTGGTGGGAGGGATTTTCGGACTTTATCTCTCAAGCTGTTTGGCTTGACAGTCGTCTATAATCCTTGATTCTCTCATATATGCAATTCTTGATTATAAAAAAAAAAAAAAAATGTGATGCACAACATATATTGGAATTTCCAATTGTCCAAAATTATCTAAGTTTCCTCTATAAATCAAACCTCCAAATCATATGAAATTTAAGTGTCACACATAATAACTAGATCATTATAATTGTATACATTTGAAATTTGAGAGAATTGTTTAGATTTAGATTGGTAATATCAAATCTTGTAAAGACAATTTTAGTTTTTTTATATATGAAATTCTCCTCTTTTTCCCCATAAATCTTGTGTTCTAGTGTGGTCCATTATTTTCATATTACTCATATAATTCTAGTATTTAATTATTTGACCGGATTCTCAATAATTAGTATCAGAGTAATTCGATATCTTATTTATCTCTAATAAGTGGTATCAGAGCCAAGGTTTTGTAGTTATTAGGAGTCCTAGATTGGTTATTAAAGAGAGATTTAAACAAAGTTGATTGTTTCAATGATGATAAGTATGAAATTTGAGATTTTGCTTTTGGAAAGCAACACCAAATTTTGTCATGACAGATTTTTTTTTTTTTAGAAGATAGAGGGGAAGCAACGTAAAACGTTGTGATTTTATTGCTCGTGGGAATAATTCGAGCAAATTTGTTAACTCAGATGGAGTTAGTTGTGAACTTGATGATTTTGTCGTTCGCAGTGATTTGAGCAAATTTTGTACATAAGGTAATTTTGTTGGTAAACAGTACTTATATTCAGTTCACAGGTGCTAAGTATGTCCTGAGGGGCATGGTGGAAGAGGTGGAGTAATTTGGTGCAGTGATTTGTTTGAAAATTTTGTTGAAATTGAAGAGTTAAGTTTTATTACTTACAATGTAATTCGTGTCAAAGTGGAGTTTATAAGAATTGGGATGTGACCTGAATTCTTGTTGAGTATTTAATTGAAAATACTGTTGGTTTGAGTATAGAGAGTTGGTAGTAGACATGAAGATGTCTTGAAGAAGTCCAAGGTGAATTCGACACATTTCATCCCAAATTCTCCATTATTGGTTTTATCCTTTGTATTGAAACTTTACCTTATATTAAACTCTTCTTGTATTAATTCTCATAATATGTTAAAGATTTTTTTGTTTTAAATATGTGGTGGACAACACATATTGGAATTGACTAATTGTCCAATTAGTTATTGGTCCAAATAGATCATTTGATCTCTTATCAATTCAGACTTTTAAACAAAAATTATCTATACTTCCTTCATGAATCAAACTTCCANTTGTTGAGTATTTAATTGAAAATACCGTTGGATGAGTATAGAGTGTTGGTAGTAGACATGAAGATGTCTTGAAGAAGTCCAAGGTGAATTCGACACATTTCATCCCAAATTCTCCATTATTGGTTTTATCCTTTGTATTGAGACTTTACCTTATATTAAACTCTTCTTGTATTAATTCTCATGATATGTTAAAGATTTTTTTGTTTTAAATATGTGGTGGACAACACATATTGGAATTGACTAATTGTCTAATTAGTTATTGGTCCAAATAGATCATTTGATCTCTTATCAATTCAGACTTTTAAACAAAAATTATCTAAACTTCCTTCATGAA